AAAATCGCGATTAAAATTAGCGGTAATGAGGTTTTGAGTATCGACGATAGCGATGTATACTATTGTTACATGGATCACTGGAGAACGGATAAAGAGCGGGAAAACTTACAGTACCAAGGTATTTGTAATAAGAACACATTGAGACTGCGCGTGGGCGCTGAAAATGGTGTTGATACCAACGAAAAAGATAAGGCCGTTGCCGACGCATTAGGTAACCGATTCTATGTTCCCCTAGACTTTGAATTACTAGATTCCCACATGCCCTTTTATCAAGCATCCCTAGGCGATAGGTTAGAATACGAACTCACTTTTAATGACTACAGTAGAGTAATCAAAGTCACTGGGGATGAAACGGCTAGCTATTCCATTGACAATATCTCGCTGGAGTACGATATGATAACGGATCCCGAATTAGCCAGACAAATTCGTAACCATTATACGGGAAGTTTAGCCATTTTGTACGATTGCGTGCTGCGACATCGAAAGATCACGAGGGACAAAAAAGATACGATGTGGAATATTAATCTAAACGTCCCCACGAGGTCGTTGAAGGGTATTTTAATGTTGTTCGAGGACCCCTCCGATGCGTTTAAAAGAAATACCGAGAAGTTCTACAATCCCAAGATTACAAAAGTAGAATTGACTATCGAAGGCGTTCCTAATCAACTATATAGTCAAGGAATGATAGCATATCACCAGTGGGATGAGATTAAAAAACTTCCTTCTATAAAACGTTCTCCGGAAGTTATCGCGGTCGTGAAAGATCTGTCTCTAGGGAGTGTATCGATGGGTGAATACCTCACCACGAAGTACGCGCTATGGCTAGACATGCAAACAACGGACGATGACCAACTACACGGCAGTGGGAGGAGAATAGAAAATGCTAGCGAGGGTGTCACCATACAGATAACGAAGCTCCAGGAAGCGGCTGGTAAATTAAACATATATTTGTACGTGATTATGGATGCGCAACTTAATATACAGAATGGGCGATTCATGCAAGCAATCTATTGATAATCTTTTACCTAAAGATCCGCACTGCGCTATCATATGCGGTCAAACGGGCTGTGGAAAAACAGCTTTTATTCTAGATATTTTAGAAAGTCATTATCGGGACGTTTTCGATCATATTATTATTCTGTGCCCGACTATAAGCGTTAATAAAACCTACCTATCGAGAGATTGGGTAATGAATGACGACGGGGTACACAGAGTCGATCCGGCCGATCGTTTACAAGACTGCCTCCAAGTTTGTCACGAAAAATACAAAGGAGAATCAACCCTTTTCGTAATAGACGACTGCAGCGCGAGTAAAGAACTAACAAAAAAGAAAGATATGCTTTCGTATTTAGCATTCTCCGGTCGGCATACTCAACATAGCGTTTGGGTACTTACTCAAAAATACAACTCTGTCCTGAAAGATCTCAGAGAGCAAACCAAATGGGTAGCCATGTTTCATTGCAAAGACAGAGATTCATTCGAGGAATGTTTACGCGAAAATGATGTTATTTATACCAAGCTCGAACGAGATAAAGTCAGAAAACTGTTATCGGCAACGAAGCACTGTAAACTCATATTAAAAACCGATCAACCAGCTGCTTATGCAATTGCTTACCAAAATGTAGCAAAATTATAGCAAAATTGTAGCAAAATATAGCAAAATGTAGCAAATTGAACATTAGCGGTTAATATTACATAAAATGTGGTTCGAAATCCTCATTCTTTCGCAACAGTTCATTATTACGGGATGTATTGGATATGCCATATTATATTATGTTCGACTTAAATATCTCCTTAGGTATTACATTATGGAATGCGACGAACTCATCGAACAAATGCTCAAAGAATCTGAGCCTGATCAACACATCAACATGTAGATAAATCTTTAGATAAATCTTAAGATAAACATAGAGAAAGACTCAACGCTTTGGTAGCCGGTGGAAAATGTTCCCAATATTTGGGAGAAAATTATACCATCGAAAAAATTGATAACATGACCGACGTAGAGATTAAAAAACTGTACGCACGTTACGAGTCTAGACTGGGAGCTACCATGACTAAAACGATAGGGTTGTCTATATTACAACTATACACAGTCGTAGCTAGTACTTTTCTCCCTATCCCGGCAGAACATCGCATGTATTTATGCGAATCTCTAGAGAAAGACCCATTCATCGAACACGCTATAAGCTCAGTGAGCTGTGAGTTTTATCATAGATACGGAATGTTCTTAGCTCCGTTCACCACAGCTTTAATTACAGCTAGGTATTGTCAATTTAAACATGCGTGCCCACTTAATAATAATTGAGACTCAACAGGTGACACCACAACAGATTGTGAACAAAACTGCACAACAGATTGCGGAAACGCAACAACATGTGAACGAAGAACAACTAGTGAATGAGGAACCACCACATGTGAATGAGGATGCACCACATGTGAATGCACCACATGTGAATGAGAAACCCAGAGTTACTAAGAACCCCCCAAAAATAGCTGCAGGAAGAAAGGGAGGACTGGCGCGCAAAGCAAAATTAATAAATAATTCAAATATTAATCCGATTAAAACATGGGCACTAGTAGGAGTTGCTGGTATAGCGGCTGTATGGTTCTTTTATAAGACCGGAGAAGGGAAAACGTCACCCCCGATGCCACAACAAGTTCAATTAGAGGTTAGCCCGCATATAATGCTATAATAAGCATGACTACTCCAGTTACAGACGGTAAAATGTTGGTAAACGCGACGTATCATTCAGCGGTGGTCACCGGCTTGGCCATTGGCTATGCCCGTATGGCTAAAATGATTACTAAAGCCACACCTCCCAAGCTAGATTTTAATGGATTTGACATTAGTATGATGATTCTGGATATTGGATTAGCAATGGCAACGAAGGATATGCTCATCAAACAAGGGCTTATCCCGGAAGACATAATGAAGTAATTAAACATTTGAATATATTATATTCATATAAAGATTTGAATATTTTATATTCATACACTATGGCAACAATTGCGATGATGGTCGGTGGAGCTATTGTTAATGCTCTAGCTTTTTCGGGGAGTAATTTTTTATTTTCTAGTATGAGGGAATCAAACGCTAAAGAAGTTGAAGAGGAACGTAAACGACATAACGAAGCAATGGAACAACTCCAAGCAGCCCAGTCACAATATATGAAGAGAATGAAGAGATTAGACTTTATTCATGAAAAACTGCTTAAAGGGGAAGTGTACACGCAAAAATCATTTTCTTTCTTATTTTAAACAAAACGGAATTTTAGAATTAGTTAGTGTCAGTGTTTGAAAATATACACTCATTTTCCTCACAGTCAATGTAGCTAGCTCACAATAAGTGTGAAAATGTCATGCCGTTATGAGGCCTTCGTTTTCCAAGCTAAACAGGCCTGAGTTATCCCCCTTAGATTATGACGTAATTGGTGCCAATTTAACTGGGTCCCTGTCTTGTCACAACGCAAAAGATATCAAGTACCAGTTTATGGTGAGACAACATGGCATCTGATACCTTGCCTGGTCCGAAGAAGTTCCCTTGACCCTTCAAGAAATCGCAAAACCATACGATTTTGAACCAAAACGAGCAAGCTTCGCGGTATGGAAACGATGAAAATCAAGTGGAAACAAGAGAAGACCCACATCACCTAATTTGTCACCCGACCCCGACTCGACATCTACACAATTAGGCCTACCAGTGACAACGTGGTAAGAATAACACTTTGATGTGTGTATACCTAAATTACCTATATGCTCATTATTACGTTTTCAGAAGCGGAAACGTAATATTCTAAGAGATTTTTGTCACGCCTGGTGACCCGCATGCTTCGTCAGCAGGCCTATTCATCCTGTCCCACCCTATTACGACCCTATCGCCGGTATAGGCATTGTCGTCAATCTGAGTTTGTATTAGGTGTAACTATTCCCACCACCTATAGGCTACAGATCATTGCTACTTGCCAATATCAAGAAACAAATACGATCTGTCGCCAAACGTTGTCTCAACAAGATTACACATTAGGCCTACCAGCTGATGACGAGACCATATGCTTAGAGTAACACGAAAATGGGGTACGTCCCAGTACGTTTCTAAAGTCAGTTGCCGAGTGGAAACGTACTGGGGGAAAAAAAGATTCTCTTTGTTTTTTTCCCATCCGAGTTCAAAATACCTGCCATATTTATTGATAAGTAATTGGATGTTGTACTTCACACTTCACACCTTCCCCACTTGAAAGTGAAAAGATAGATCACTCAATTGATTTGTTTAGTGTTTGAAACCAGTTACTGCAGTAGGCCTACAGTATCTTATTCTATTTAATAGATAATTGGTTATTGGTTTGTTCTGACAACCATTCATAGAAAATGCATTGCAACTTTGCAGGGAAACTATTTATCATCTATTATGGGGCCAGATTTTAAAAAAAAATGTTTAGAAACTATAAAAATATCTAATTATTTATTAAAAACAGTGGGTTGTTTATCTGAGTGGACCAGAAATATGTAAAATGTGTACAAAAAGCTCATTTACTGTCACAATCAATACATATAAATTATCTAAGAAACTATAAGTAAAACTTGTTGAATATTAGTGAAAAATATTTGAAATTGTAAATCTTTGTTTGGAAATTTGGACCTCCCAACCTGACCTTTTGAGCAAAACGTCTGTAACAACCACCCCCTAAAATGCAAGTGAAATATGCAATCATTTTTTTATATGAGTGAGATGTAGGGTTATCACAATATCGCAATATCACAACTGGGGGACACCAGAAAAGGGCTTCACATGTTGTGCCCATGTGGGGAATCGAACTTGGGTCTTCAGTGTGACGATCGAACGCTTTCACCACAAGGCTACCCCACCATCCTTTTTTATATTAACACTTGAAATAAAGTTTAGAAAACATATAATATGATTTACTTTCATCAATTTTTTTTATTATGCATTTTAAGATCTATCATGCACAACAAACAAATCTGACAAGTAAAATAAGAGATTCGAGTACCATAAATGTTTATTTGCCAGCAAGTTGTGAAAGCATATGTAACTTGTAAGGTTATTAAATTACATCAGTGATATTGAAACATGCCCACAATATTTCAAGAAGTATTCAAACCTACAGTAATAAACACATCATGTCAACATGATAGAACTATAAACTGTTTTGGTATTTATTGAATTATTGACATGTAATAAAATTTTTGCATATAACATCAATACAAGTTACTTCTTATATAAGCATCCCTCCAGATTTAATGACAAAAATATATATGTAAATGGTATGATATTGTTTTGTAATGTTGTGCATCGCTTGACTAATAAAAGACACTTTTTCATTTCAGAATCTATCTACACCTCATAAACAAGAGGTTCACTTTGGGGATTTGCAGAAAGAGTTGAAGAATCAGAGAAAAGTTATTCCGTCTTGTGTTGTCGAGGTGATTCATGAAAGATTTCCATCTGATGTATGTAAAGTTTTTCTCTATGCTCATTAAAATAAACTTTTTTCATTGAAATCTTGTTTTATGGTCTCTGACAACAATCAGCCTTTGCTGTTCATTTGATAAGTTTCTGTAATACACGATGGCTGATGCTGGATCAGGTAGTTTGGGGCAAGGGCGAAGGCCGGGGAAAAGACTGAACAAAATATCACAAGCACTGGCTGAATGCTCAGTGGCAACTTGTTAGTGCACTGGTTGACTATTTCAAAAGTACAGCTCTCTTGTTGTCTGAAGCACTGTACCTCACAAGACACTCTAATATTTTATGACTTGTAACTCTGCATGAAAATAAACACAATTTGCACTCAATGAAAATGGATCTCAACACCAGGGATTTCTTGTGACACCGGTGGGGCAGGATACTCTCTACTTTCGCGAACACCTGGTATTATCACTATTTGATAGCGATTCATTAACACGTGCTCATGATTTAGTCAGAATCGTATCATCAACTGTTTTTTACAGAGATTTCATATAAATATGGAAAGGGTTTTGTCGCATTTATACTCTTCCATATCATTGTGGGACCTGAAAAATATAAAAATAATTTTAACATAAATTTGTCAAAATAATATGTACACTGACTAAATAATTGTAAAAGAAGGTGGTAATAATCTTCAGCAGTGTCAGGCATGTCACTGGGTGCCTGAAGACAAATATCATCAGTTAACTGTGTACAAATTGTATCAGATCTATTACTGTTATATGTCATTCACAGTATACTTTCATTTGTCATCCACACTACACTTTTACAACAAAAGACAACAATATAGAATATAATAGATACACAAAATAGTTCAATACAGAAATTATTTGCATATAGTATTTACATTGTGTGATTATTCATTGTCAAAATATTATTTTGTACCTCATACTATGAAGCACGGTGTGCCATGCTTCTGGTGTACATTGGACAGCGACTTTACACCATGATGGACTGGGGACCTGTACTTTCTGGGCATTGGTGTCTGGCATGACTTGGCTCGAAACTTCATATTTGAAAGATACAACATAGAAACATTGACACTTTTGTCATCTATATCTCACTATCACAAAATATAAAATGGTAACTTGATTTTTTTCATGTATAAATGTGCTATAAATGTATATGTGTGTAAATTGCATTGAACATGAAATTTGAATATTTTGGGTGGTAGGTGGGCGATGATTTTGGATAGTGACTGGATATTTTGTCAGCTACAAAGCTGCAAAACCAGATATCTTTTTAAATAAAAAATATATAAAGCCTCAATATAAAAAATAAACATGTTGCAACAATGTATTTTTGCGGATTTTTGCTTCAACAGTCTGAATCAAAATTATTGTACATGATTATTTAAAGATTAGGTACACACACAAACACAAACACACAGAATTTGAATGAGTTTATATAATTTATAATTTGTTTTCCTGTGTAATTATAAAGTTTATTAATTACCGAAATGAGATGATTTGTGTTAATTCCAGACGGGAATGGCTGTAAAACTAAATCATTACGTAATACAACTTACTCCATCAACAGGAGTTTGCTGCATACTGCAACGATCAGCTGATCAGGAGTATCGACATAATCATGCAGGAAGTGAACATGTGAACGAGACAACATCGCGGATGTTCATGATTGTCAAGTGAAACAAATATCACCTTACCCCTGCTAAAATACATTTCTAAAATACTACTGTGGTTAGAATAAACTAAAACAGCAAACTTACCTGATCGAGTTACTTCAACTTTACGGCGTTTGTTTACAAAAACATCCCAGTCAGGGTCTTGATGAGAGTGCTGCCCCTTTAGCCCGTTTCCATATAAGGATCGTACACCATCCGCTTCCGATCAGTTTCAGCACAGGACCATATGTAACTAATAATAGTAACAAAAACGGCCTTCGGCCTCGTCTATAATTTTTAAACGAGTTTTTTTTATTGTTATTATTAGTTACATATGGTCCTGTGGTTTCAGAACCAGCAGGTATCTAAACTCTCACGGAGGACAACAGCAACTCAGCAAGAGCCAATATGCGCAACACAAATGAACGAATAAGCGCAATTCATACAACGGACCCTTCCAACCATAATCGCGAATCTTACAGTATGTTATCAGTGCATTGTTGTCTTCTCAGTCGTGATTTTGGAAACCGAAATAATTTTAGAGTAATTGTGCTTAGCGTTGTATCTTGGACAGCTCGGCACCGAACAAAACAATAGCTAGGCTGCGCATCTGAGAAGATAGAACCACACACCTACATACACCACGTGAAACGCGTCTAATAAAGTCTTATGACGTCATTCCTTTGTCAATTGGCACCAATGACATCATATTGCAAGGGGCATAAGCCATGGTGTGTTTATTATGGAAATAGAACTCTCTGTAAATGTGAAAAATATGAACCGATTTTATGAATAAAATAAATTTGATACGTGTGATATTTTAATTGTTTTGCCTCCGAAACTACTAGGTAAATACTTTTCATGATGAAAAAGTACAAGAAAAATAGGTTTATTTTCGTGTGAACTTGCCCTTTAAGGAAGGACATTCAATTCAAACGTTTAAGGATGTCGAATCTGCCATGCACGAATACTACCTCGTTTATGGGAAAAAACTCGACCCAATACCGAGACCAACAATGAGTCAGTTTTATACACCGTCAGAGGAACAAAAGAACCGTGAGGTCGCATTTGTGATTATGGGATTGACTTCTGTATTGATTTTCTGCTATACCATGACTACTCATAAATAACCACAGCTGTGGCTATGCATAAACCATGACCTAGTTTAGAGCGATCTATAAATAGCGTTGGCTGACTGCCTAATCAATATCTCACCAGTGTAGATGTGATTTGCATTTAGACAAATGATATGATAGATTTATAACCATGAATCATTGCATATTTACACTCATGGGTAAGACGACTCTATGTAACCGACGCTGTGTTGAAATTTACTGTGGTATACACAATTATTACATCAGGCGCGGAAACATAAACTATACGTGGTTTGTATGTTGGATAGGGGTCAAAGGTCGTTATTGTTTATGTAAGGAACACGGTGCTGATAGGGTCAGGAGCCAGATTATTTATGCTAGGAAGAGAGATTACATCAATGAGAGGAATAGGTTGGGGAGAATACGTATTTAGATATATGAAAACAACCAATTAGACATTTGTCTCATTTTGCATATACCATTCAACCACAATGGTTTTTGTCAGAGAGTTGAAGGCTATGGCAAAGCAAAGTGGCCTACGTGGATATTCTCGAATGAGAAAAGCTGAATTGATTACCTTACTCGGTTTGGAATACAACAAACCCCAGACTGTTAGGGAACTCAAAGCTCAAGCGAGAAACAGTGGGCTGAGAGGTTATTCTAGAATGAGAAGAGCTGAATTGATCACTTTACTAGATAATAATGATATTCAACATAATGATGATGATAATGATGTTGAGAATAAACAACAAGAATTAATACTTGTACCCACATCCTCCGACGTTGGTAAATATCTAAGAGGTTGGAAGATGCATATTAATTCCAACATGGATGTTAACGATATTAAGCCCATCATATCGAGTAAAATTAACGAGGAGTTAGATGATTTACATAGTATAAAATACCAGCTGACGATTAAAATGTTATTGAGTAAAAGTAACACAGACGATAGCACCGAATATACCAAACCATATTTCCGTAGCAATCAAGAAGTTATAACCGAATCCAATACTATAAACGCATCATTAGATACATCAATTCAGAGGATACAGGAAACTTTAGAACGTTGGACTAATAGAGGTTCGGGTTGGGGTGTGGATAAAATCGATAGTTTATATTTAGATATAGCAAATTATATGCCCTTCAAAGGTGGATCTTATATAGATTTACCCCCATATTATAAGAAGAAAAAAGCCATAATTAACGTAAAAAATAAATCCGATGACTGTTTAAGAATGATGATTAGATCTGCATTGTTCCCCGTAGATTCTAAAATTGCAAATAGACCTTCTAGCTATCCCAAAAACGATGGACTCAACTTCGATGGTATAGACGAACCTACACCAATATCACAAATTGATAAGGTGGAAAAGCAAAATAATTTAGCTATAAATGTCTTCCGACATTCTAAAGGAATTGTTGTACACAGGATAAGCTCCACTCCGGAACATATTCCCAGAATCAATTCATTTCTGATCGAAAAAGATGGAAAATATCATTATACATGGATAAAGAGTTTAAACAGGCTATTATACGATCAAACAAAACACAAGGAAAAGAAATATTTCTGCGAAAGATGCCTGCATGGGTACAGCAGACAAGATCTATTAGAAGCGCATAAAGAAGACTGCAGAGGTGTTGGACAGACTGCTATCAGGATCGATATGCCTAAAGAGGGAAAAAATATATTAAAATTTGAACATTATTGTAATCAAATGCCAGTACCGTACGTAATTTACGCCGACTTCGAAGCTCTTATCAAACCCATAGAAAATACTGAACGCAATACTGATAGTAGTTTTACGTACAAAACTCAAGAACATATTCCTTGTGGGTTTGGATATATCGTTGTAAGGTATGATTGGAAAACAAACACTCCCGTGATTTACAGAGGTCCCGATGCAGCGTGAAAGTTCCTAGAATATCTACGAAATGAAGAGAGAATAATCAGGGAAAAATTATCGTGTAAGAAACCCATGTGTATGAGGAGGGATGATTGGAGGGCCCATAAGAAGTCAATGAGTTGTCACGTTTGTAATAAACCCCTGGATGGGGATTCCGTAGGAGATCATTGTCACGTCACGGGTAATTATCGGGGAGCCGCGCATAACGAGTGTAACTTGAAACTAAAAATGAATTCTCAAACAATACCCATCCCCGTTCACATCTCATAATGCAAGCTATCTCAAAGACCGACGGCGGTTTAACGTGCATTCCTAACAATATGGAAAAATAGATATCATTCTCGTTGACTAAACCTATACATTATAGGGACAAGGATGGGAAATCTAGAATAAAGCAAAGTAATGGGCTTAGATTCATAGACTCCGTACAGTTTCTGTTAACTTCCCTGGACAATTTAGCTAATGCGAACAATCCCGATGACTTTGCGATAACAAATCAATATACCGATAAGATAACTCATCATTTGTTGCTGAGAAAAGGTGTATATCCTTACGAATATATGGATGATTGGTCTAGATTCGAAGAAACCGAATTACCACCCCTCGAATCATTCTATAGTAACTTAACAGAATCTAAAATAACAGATGCCAATTATGAACACGCTCTGACGGTCTGGGATAAATTAGGTTGTAAGAATTTAGGCGATTATCACGATCTGTACTTAAAAACCGATGTACTGTTATATTTGAGATATTTAGAAAGACATGTTTAAAACAATACGGCTTGGACCCGGCATGGTACTATTCCAGTCTCGGACTATCGTGGGATGCATTGTTGAAGAAGACCGGCGTAGAACTAAAATTACTCACAGATTACGATATGCACTTGTTTATTGAGAAAGGATTAAGAGGTGGTATATCGATGGCAGCGAAAAGGTATTCTAAGGCTAATAATAAATTAGTGGAAGGATACGATCCCAGTAAACCCAATACGCACATATTATATCTCGACGCTAACAATTTGTACAGATGGGCTATGAGTCAACCTTTACCCACGGGTGGTTTTGAGTGGGTCAATGATATCAAAGTGAATGATATCCATAATAATGATGTGAATAAAGGGTACATACTAGAAGTTGACTTGGAATATCCAAGTTCGTTACATAAAGATCATAACAGTTATCCGCTAGCTCCCGAAAGATTAATGGTTAATAAAGATTGGATGTCGGAATATCAACGCTCCTTGATGGGTAATAGTAGGTTAGCTAACGTAGAAAAACTCGTACCAAATTTGATGGATAAGACAAAATATATAGTTCACTACAGAAATCTCCAGTTGTATCTATCGTTAGGTATGAAACTTAAGAAATTACATAGAGTTCTAAAGTTTGATCAAAGCCCTTGGATGGAGCCCTATATAAGGTTGAATACAGATTTAAGAAAGATAGCTACCAGCGATTTCGAAAAGAATCTGTATAAGCTCATGAATAACTCAGTATTTGGTAAAACTATGGAGAATCTAAGGAAGCGTGTTGATGTTAAATTAGTCAGATCTAATGAGGAAGAAAGACTCAGGAAACTTATAGCCAGTCCGGCTTTTAACAGAAGCAAGATATTCGATAACGACTTAGCCGCGTTGCATATGCAGAAGAGTAATATAAAATTCAACAGACCGGTAAGATGAAGGATGAATGTGCTGGGACTCCTATAGCGGAGTATGTAGGATTAAGACCTAAGATGTATTCTATAAAAAGTCCGATAATGGAGAGATAAGAAAAGGGCTAAGGGTGTTAAGAAGTATGTTGTAAAAAAGCATATCAAACACGAACAGTATAAAGAATCATTATTCAACGGTAGAACGTTCAAACACGAGATGAACTCTTTAAGAAGTTACGATCATAGGATATATGGATTAAGAATGAACAAGACATCATTATCCCCCTTAGATACAAAGAGATGGATTGATAATGATGGTGTAACTACCTATGCTTATGGTTATGGTGGTAATACCGTACCGTCGGGAACTATGAACAACTCTTCTCGTACAAATGCCCTACCCGGTCCATCTTTAAGATAATAAAGAATAGGCTCTCCTTCTTTCGTAACCAATCGACTAATGTTATAAGTCTTAAGGGACCATATGGGATCGGTTGCACGACGTAGGCCTCCTTTGAGTTCACCTGCCTGGTATAAATATCTTACCCTTACTCTATCCGGAAGTTTTCGTTCTTTGCCTCGCCTCGGTGCTGAAGATTCGGAAGTCACGGATTTCATTTTAATAGCATCGGATGGTGTCTTCCCTATTAGTCTCGTTACTTCATTATTCAGCGCTGATACAACGGCTGATAATTGTGTCACCCATTCGGTTGATCTCAATCGCTCCGATTTCATTTCGATCCCATACTGATAGCCAAACAAACGTTCCGCTAATGTCCTGTTAAATCTTTCAACGATAGCTTGACTGCGGTGGGCCTCTCTTTCACCACGCCTGATTTCGACATCGTGCTTTGTTAACAGTTTAGTCACCGATCCCATAAACTCGCGACCGGGATCTACTTGAAATTGCTTAGGCCATATGTATGCGACTCAGTGCATTAGCTACCTCTGTTGAATCTTTCGAGGTTAATGGCTCAGCCTCTTTGTATCGACTAGCCACATCCACTACTGTTAAAGCGTATTTATACGTTTTGCGTTTTACCTTATCGTGGGGAAGAAACAAGAGGTCAGCCTGATGAACTTCATTCGTTGTAAAAATATCAAACTTCTTCCTCGTCAATAACGCGGTGCCGGTAAATATATTTGCCACATCGCTTGTTTCTTTAACCAATCCTTGGCCACATCTTTAGATACATTAGCCGCGGTGGCTAATTTTTTTATTGCTCCTACACCTTTCCAATATCCTCGTGGGCTATAGT